ATTTTACTTTTGTTCAAGTTTATAAACAGAAAGTTACGGCATTTATGCACTTTGAAGTTTATATCATGAAGTTTATTCATTAGAAAAACTAATTCTAACTTTTTTCATGTGCCTCATTGCTACATGACATAAACTTATTACTCAGATTCTAAAATAAACATTAGCTTTTCCATTTTCATCTAAGATTAACATCAACATTTTACTGAGACAGAGTCTCACTCTGTTGCCAGGCTGGAGTGCAGTGGTGTGATCTCCGCTCACTGCAACCTCCGTCTCCCATGTTCAAGCGATTCCCCTGCCTCAGCCTCCTGAGTAGCTGGGACTACAGGCATGCGCCACCAAGCCCGGCTAATTTATTATTTTCTATTTTAGTAGAGACAGGGTTTCATCATGTTGGCCAGGATGGTCTCAATCTCCTGACCTTGTGATCCTCTTGCCTCAGCCTCCCAAAGTCCTGGGATTACAGGCATGAGCCACTGAGCCCAGCCTGTTTTTTATTTTATAATATGAACTTTATTTATACTGACCAATCATCAAGGCTGTGACAAGATCTTTCAAGTTCGTTTGCATATTTATTCAGTTTATGGAAAAATAAATTTATAAAATACAAGCTTTAAAATACAACAAATACAGTGAGCATTTCAGCAGTGATCTTTAAAGTTTTTCTTTTATTCCAGTGCTTCAATGAAGTTATACTATAAAACCAATAAAGAAGGCAGAATAGCAACGGCAAATTTGAACCACATTAGCACCATTTATATTGGTATAATTTGTTAATTAAAAGAAGATTTATAAATCCAAAACATATTTCTCCTTCACTTTGTCATTTTCTGACCAAAAAAACCTGAATAATGAGTAATGAGTTTATATCTGAGTAATGAGTTAAATCTGAGTAACGAGTTTATATCATGTAGCAATGAGGCACATAAAGGTAGTTAGAATTAGTTTTTCTAACAAATAAACTTCATGACACTACAAAGAGATTTTTTTTAAAAGAAGATGATTAAGAAAATTTAAATGAAATTAAGCCTATAACTCTGCTTTCAGTAAAGAGTGCAAAAGTAACCCTTACATTGACAAATATGGCATAATCCCATAGGTCCTATTTGCTCTTCTTCCATTAAAAGGAAAACATGCAGTCTCATATAAAGTTTACGTGGGTTTTATGTTCAGAATATTGCAGAGATTAAGAAAAACCTTTGCCTAGTGCGTGGTAAGGTTAACTTTATTGGTTTGATTTCCCATTTTTCCAAATGGAAGACTGTTGGATGATGGAGGGTGGCTGGGGAAAGGAAATAATGGCAGGAGATTAGAATGTTGAAAGAAAAGTTGGGACTTGAAACTAATCAATTTTTAAAAATCTTACTACCAAGCATGATGGCTCACACCTGCAGGAGGCCAAGCTGGGATAATCACTTGAGGCCAGGAGTTAAGACCAGACTGGACAACATGGCGAGACCCTGTTTCTTTTAAACTTAAAAAATAAAAATTAAAAATCTTTTTAATAAAATAAAAGAACCAGGTATAGTGACTCATGTCTGTAATCCCAGCATTTTGGGAGGCCAAGGAGTGAGGATCACTTGAGCCCAGGAGTTCAAGACAAGCCTGGGCAACATAGCAAGGTCTTGTCTCTACAAATAATAAAAAATAATTAGAAATAATTAGCCAGGCATGGTGGCATGCACCCATATTCCCAGCTACCCCAGACGCTAAGGCAGGAGAATGGCTTTAACCAGGGAGGTCATGGCTGCAGTCAGCCATGATCATCCCACTGCACTCTAGCCTAGGCAACACAGTGAGACAACTCCCCACCCCAATCTCAAAGAAAATAAAATCTTAAATCTACACACATGCCCATATAATATTCTTCTGTTGGGAATTTTTTTTAAGGTTCTTTAAAAATCAGTTGTAAACATCTTTTACTTTTAATATCTTTGTCTCATTATAACAAGCTACAGTGTAAAAACAATTCAAACTCCAACAAAGAAATTCTATACTATATGATAGTGAAATATAAGCCAGAGAATCAATAAGAGGATGCTACACTACTGTTGAAGACCAGAAGTTATTATCTCCTTTGAAAAGGATCAACAGAAGCAGTATTGATGCAAGATACAAAACTACTATAACAAAGCTGGATGTGGTAGCACATGCCTATAGTCCCAGTGACTCAAGAGGCTGAGGAAGGAGGATCACTTGAGCCCAGGAGTTGAAGGGCAACCTAGACAAAACAGCAAGATCCCAANAAAAAAAAAAAAAAAAACCATAATAGTAATACTTTTTGTTTCAGAGTTGTTTAAAATCTTAGTTATATGTTTAATAAAGTAACTTATTCAAGTCTTTTTAAATTCAAGTCTTATGATTGTAAAACTTTCTTTTACATTTATCAATGTGCTATAATTTGAAACGGATGTATCCGCCATTTAACCACCAAGAAATTTATTAAATGCAGTTTATCATAAATCAAAAATAACCATTAATAAAATGAAGAATCTATTTACTTTATCAGCATTGAGATTCTATTTACATAATGAAGAGCTATGGGTAACAAACAGCCCAAATACTATTCGCAGAAAACTCAATATTCCAATGATTTTAATATACATATAATTATCAATTTCTAGGCTTGGATTTACAGAGTATGTAAATGGTCAGAAGTAAATTAACATACCTAATTTATTACAGTTCAGAAACCTAAATGAAATGCCATAGGCCACAAAACAACTGCTTCATATTCAAAGGCACAAGTTCAATTTGGTAGATCAGCTGGTACTCACTGCATTATATTGCAGGAGATAAGGGTTAAGTGACCTTGGGATACTGTTCTCCAGATGGCTAAAGGGTCCATTTTTTTATTGGAATTATCTCTACTTTAAAAAAAAAATTAGATCTACTTTTGATAAACACCTAGCTTACCACACAATTAATACCTTTGTCCATATAAGATTCTACTTGAGGCTTTGTTTTTGAAATTTTAGGATTATAGCCACTATAAAAACAAAATTTAAGAACACACAACATACACAACAGGTTAAGAATACATGCCTTCTCTTCTGATGAACAGCACAAGAAGGTTAAGAAGTTTGGGGATACATTTTAGAGATTTTTAAATGAGAAATCCAATAAATCTTTAAGCATTTAGCTTTCCATTATTGCAGCTCATGAAAAGATTGTTTAAACTAATTTTGTAATACACAATATATTCACTCCACAAATAACTATGTACATATATAGCCCACATCAATTTCCTTATCCTAAAAGGATTAAGGAAAAAATTAAAAATTTATGTTTCTCCTACTCATAAAAATCTGGTTTTAGGTGTTTTAAAAGTTCAAACAGCTATCAAGCTATACTTTGCTTTGGCACTAGCTCCCCCTCCAGACCAATGTACTAATATAACTGCATTTAAAAAAGTAATAAGTAACAAATTTTTCCAATCCACTAGCAAATTTTAAGATTCACCAATTTTAAGGACACTCCAATTTCATAAAAATAACTCATAGGAATTTGCAACAAAACAATTTAGAATGTAATCAGAATTACTGTTTTTTTTCAATTCTATACATCTTAAATAAAACTGATTTGTAGGAAAACAACTTCAGGTGACTTTTTAAATTCAAAATAACCTCAAAATAAAACCTATATAATGCCATATCTTATGGAAATTATTCTGAATATCCTATTACACAAGTACCCTTCAAGTTAACTCACAATTTGACCAAAGATACGTTTTTGCATCTATTTCTGCAATCCATGCAAGTTTCATTCCAGCTGTTCATCTCTGGAATTCAAATAGAATTTATAAAGCAGCAAAAAGAAAATCTGTCTTGGAACTACCCTTGTATGTGTCTTATTCATCTCTAACTCCCTGCATTTTTTAAACACTAAACCTGTAAAATGACAATTACAATCGCTTAAATTCCCACCTTCTCACTACTACTGTAGTATTTACAAATCAAGTAATTAACATTTTATACACACATAGCAGATTTCACAAGGATAGCAATGCATAGGGCCTTACTATTTGGCACAGGGTTTTAGGATGTTTTTACAGTTATTTTAAGGAGCGGAGACTACAACTCACTCCATTATTTTTTACATATCTGATATACTGTAGTGCTTAAATAATAACTTCTCACCTAAAATACTTTCTACATTATGTACCTCTTTAAAGAATTAGTTGTTAGACGTGGAATGTAAAATTAATCAAGAAATAAATACGCAGCTAACTCCAGGAATAACAAGAAAAAAAAAAACTATAATGAAACCTGCCCATAGTTTTCATAAAGCCAAGCCAAAGTTAGGTCAGTTACTTGAGATGCGTTTATCTCTAAACTGATACAAAACTTGTGTTGCCTTTGTTCCGCAAAACCTTGAAATTTGGTGTTATCTACTGGAGAATTTGGCTTTTCTGGGTCCACCTTCTGGAGTGGGTTTAAATAAACTGTAAATAATTCAAACATAGGAAAAAACCACCACCTCTCCGTGTCTTTATCCAAGTCCTCAATACGGCAAAATGCTAAAAGCTTATCAGGGACAAACCCTAAACATGGCACTGCCACTTAAGAAATACACTGCGTCTCTGAAGGTTGCAATCCCCACTGTGAAGAAAGAACAGGTGCTGCACCCGACAACCCACTCGCTCCTGCAGGACAAACCTCCTAGAACTAATAAATAGGGACTCATTTAACCTTCCCAAGTAAGTTTAGACACTCAAAAGCCACCAGCTCGTCATTTGCACACCAAAAGGGAATACAGCTGCACTCAAGCCTTTAACTGCCCTTCATCGGTCCCTCGCGGATCTTTGTGCGGGTCCACTCCCTGCTTTCTAGCCCGAGCAACACTCACAGAGAGCCCATAACGCACCGGCATCTTCCTCCCCACAGACCGCGACTCCAGGGACCGAGCTGCTGGTAAAGGGAAGGTAGGTGTGGAGGGGAGACGACGGACACCTCCCACCCCCGCCGCCATCCCTTTTCCTCCCCCTAGGCTTCGGCCCCTGCCCTAGGCAAGGATGCGCGATGCCGAGGGCAGCCGCGGCGCCGCTCTCCTCGTCCCGGCTGGAGAGCCGGGCCCCTCACCCTCTGCCCGCGCCCCCGGGTCTGCGCCAAGGCATCCGCCAGAGCGTCCCGGTGGCTCCCTCCCCACTTTTCCGAGAGCCACTGGTTAACCGGCAGCAGTTGCAGCAACAGGCCCGGGGGTCGTCCGGGGAAACGAGCAGGGACAGCCGCCAAGCCTCCACAGATCCCGCGCGCTACCCAGCCCAAGACCCCGAGACGCGCGGGGCCCGGCTCCCAAAACGCCCCCTTACCCGAAGCGGGAGCAGAGGCGGTCTCCGCGGTCCCCGGTCCCAGCCGCCAAAGCCACAGCCCTCAGCCGTAGCTGCCCCACGCTGGCGGAGTGGAAAGGGTGGCTGGGTGGAGGATGCTACTCCCGACTGAATCGAGAGGAAGAAACGGAAACAGGAACCGCCGCCGCCGCTTAACGGAGCCTTCGGCGCCACTGACTGAGGCAGAGCGCGAGGCGGCGCGAGCCGGGCAGTCGCTGACAGCGCGAGACCGAGCGCGAGCCGGGTCCAGGGCGCGCGACCCCGAGCAGCGCCGGCCCCATTCCGCGGGGAGAAGAAGGGACGGGTCGTCTGGGGCCGGGAGAAGGGACAGGGTGGGGAGGGGGCCTGGAGCGGAGGTAACCGGCACCTCGGGTCGGCAGGAGATAACGCGCGCACGCGCCGGAGCAGCTCTGACAACGAGCGCAGGCGGGGAAGCCTCGGCCAGCGCCGGCGTGCGCGCGCGAATGGGGGCGCGCGCCCCTCGGCGTTCCTGGCTTCTGGGAGAGGGCGCGCATGCGCCGGCCGCTGCCACCTACGGCGACCCTGGCATGTGCCAGGGCTTCTCCCCGCCTCCTTCCTCGCTGCGCCCGTGTAGAGCGTAGCTGCAGCATCCACCGCCTAGCAGAGTCGCGGGCCACAGCGGGACGGCAGGGTTCCAGCAGGGCAGCGGCTGCGCACGCGGGCGCTGGCTCGCACACAGGCGTAGGCCGCCCTCTACCGCCTGAAGGCCGGAGGCTGAGTGGGGTGCCAGCGGATCCAGGATCCCGGGGGGAGAGCCGCCTCCAGAGAATGCCGTGCTCCCTACAGTGCCAGGGACTGACCGGCCTGTGCCAGCTTAGTCGGCGGCCCTAAGGGGCACCCGCACTAGGGCTTTTGAAGCTGGCTCCTTGCTACTTTTCGGGGTGGCCGCTGCTGCTGCTCAGCCCCTGCAGCCCGCGTTTGGCCGCTCGAATACAGCTTCCAGCGCGATCCTACAATGACATCTGTCCCCCCAGGCGATTCAGCGAAGCCCTACTTTATTTTGTGAGAGCTGTGTTTCCACATTCGCTCGAAGAGAAAGACCCCCCACGAGGGCCTGAGTTCGATGCCCGGCCTCTCCCGACCCGCGGCTGCGACAGGCCCTCTGAGGCGGAAGTTTATTTAGTATGGCAAAGAGAACAGCACGAGGTGAGGGGAGAGGCTTTGCTGTAAGATGCGTCCTACCCGCTCGGACTCGGAACATTCCCGGCGCCCGCGATGCACAGCAGTGGGCCGAAGGGCTGCCTTACAGCAGCCCAGACCGCCAGTTGAGCGCGCCGCCCCGGCACACAAAGTAGTCGCGGGCCGAGGGGGGTGCCGCCAGGGCCAATCAGAGTCGCGCGCCGCGTGAGTGGAGTGCGAGCCGGCCAATCAGAGGGCCGGAAGATGAGCTTCCCGTTCCAAACTCTTCCCTTGTATCTTTGGGAGCCAGATCCCAAGCCTGGGGCGAAGTACGGTTGTAAGCGAAATGGTGCCCTGAAGACAAGAATCATTTCTCTAGGCTTGGGCATTTTAAAGCACATACTGGGAATACTTATCCCAAAGCAGGTAGCGGCAGCCTTTTAGATGTTACATAGTAAAAGATCACAGAAAAGAGATTTAAGAGGCAGTGGCCTGTCAAGACTGCAATCTGCCTAATATTCATAAATTCACATATTTATTGAGACATTCTTATGTACCAGAAACTCTATTACACATACACAAATAAGGTACTGCTGATTTAAAACAAGAAAATCCCTTGTCCTCAAGCAGCTCAGGTTCCGAGGGAGGCTTTGCTAGACCTTTTGACTCGTATCTATTGTCAGCTCTTTAAACAAAAAGCACTCCATAACGTGCTGTACTTTGCAGTCGTTTTTATGATTGTTATCTCCCTGTGAGCAAAGAAAATTGAAAGTGGAGTGACTTATCCAAGATCACAAAAAAGATATTCTGGCAGAGCCAGAATTATGTTCTAGTTCAGTTTGTGTGTCATTACTCAATACAGTCATTGAATAACAATTTGTAAACGCATGGATGCTCTCTCCCATGAGATTTCTGTACTAAGTGTACAAGCAGAACAAAATTCTGGTATAAAAGTGACACACTTTGGTTGTTGGGAATTTACACAAATTTTAGGCCTATGTGGGATCAGAGGTCAAATCTTATCAGTCATACTCTAGATAATTTTTAGAAGTAAAAGGTGGGGTGGATATTTACTTTTTAGTTTAAACACAGCATTTTTTAAATATTTTAACAATCAGTGTAACCTTTTTTTTTTTTCTAAGATAAAAGAAGCGGGAAGGATCACTTGAGCCCAAGAGTTCCAGCCTGCAGTGCCACATGATGGTGCCTGTGAATAGCCACTGCACTCCAGCCTGGGCAACATAGCAAGACCCCCATCTCTAAAATAAAAAATTAAATTTAAAAAAAGAAAGAAAATAACTATTTCTGGTTGGTTAACAGTCATGATAGCTTACACTGTATAATACTTTGAGATATCTAAGTTCAAAACTTTACATTTGCCTCAAAATTCTATTTTTGTCTGGCCTTACATTTTTGCTTCCAAAATCCTAGGAATTAAAGCACTTATTTTCCCTACTTCCTTCCAATTAAAAAAATAAAAAAGAGAACCTTTTCTAGGAATGTTTTGCCCAGGATTTGGAACATTTGTATAAAACAGTATAATGTACATTAAAATAACAAATAACTTTGGTATCTCTTGAATACACTCAGAAACTAATTCTTGAACGATTTTGAAGTCTGCTTTGTTGAATCAATGTCCTTCTCCACTGTGATGGAGCATTATTATCAAAACCCTTTCCAATGGAGGCTCAGGATTTAGCTGCCATCCCAAAACTGGATGTCTCTGTCAAACAACTGATATTTGAGAACAAGTCTTTACACACTAAGTTCCAAGCCAATCATGAATTTACAGGAAATTTGCTTATAAAAGAGATGCTTACTTGCCTCTTCTCAATGTGAACAACAGTCCCAGTTTTTAAGAAATACATTTATTTTACTCTCCAAAGAGGAAAATTCCTAGAACTTAGTCTTTCTCTTGCCATGTTAAATTATGAGAGAGAAGGAATTCCCAAAAGTTCTAAACATCACTGGCCATCCGAAAATATCTGTGTCAAAAGCATTTTTCCACAAGCTGCAACCTACCACCCTGTTTCTGGGCTCTCTCATTCTCTTCTCCCAACTGTTTGCCTCTGCTGCTCATCACTCCCAGTTTGTGATACTTAAGTAAATATAAGTACTCCACCTCTTATTCCACCTCTCCCTCACCAAACTAGGTTTTCCGCCCATCTTTGCTTATCCCAAAAGTTAAAGACAAGTTCTGCTCAACAAAAGATTAGGCAGAACAATCTTTATGATCTGTTATACTGTGTCAATGCATTGTTTTCTTTTACATAGCCTCAGTCAGATTCTTAACCATCAGCCAGAGCTATGGGGACTTGGGTATGGGGCAAGAGTCAACCCTTAGACAATGGAAAAGATCAAAATGAAAGTTAAAGTGAGTACATGAGTGGCCATTTTATTGAGAGATTAGCTAGATCAAAGTTAATGAACTTGAATGCTATCACATTTCCTAAGTTGTGAACATTCATGTAGAAACTAGTTTGAAATTTACTACCATTTTATTATAACTGTAATAAAAATAATAGCCAAAGTGTAATATTGCTGAGCACCAGGCCCCATGCAAAACTCTTTACCTACACCATTTAATTCTCAAATAAACCTTTGAGTTGGATCCTATTTTTATAGTAGGGAGATCTGTGAAGTTCCAGCAAGGGGTTGAGGTACTCAGAAGGCTTAGCATAAGCTACTTACCAAATAGTTTAGAAATTTTTCTATCTCTACAATGTGTACCAATTGACTGTCAGTCTTGGAAGCATTCTGAATAATTGTTAATTGTTCTTGTTGTTTTATAATTGTTGCTGTAGCTACTTTTCACTTATAGGATCCCATTTTCCAGGAAGTCATCCAAAGGGCAGCACTGTTACTGCCATGAGCAAGAAAGAGTGACCTTGAGATAATCATTTTACCCATTTGGGCTTCAGTTTTCTCATTTGTAAAATAAAAGGGTTGGACTGGTAAGTTTTAGTTGTTCACCAGTTCTAAAACTATAAATCTAGCCATCTTGACATACCATTGACAATAACTACAAAAATGAAATACGGGAAAAAAAAGAGTCCATATTTTCTTTTCTTTTTTTAGAGACAAGGTCACCTATGTTGTCAAGGCTGGTCTTGAACTCCTGGCCTCAAGCTATCCTCCCTGCTCAGCCTCCTGCAAACTAAGAATCTAAGTCACTTTTGAGCCAACTCCTTAAACAGAAACTCTATACCTACTCATTAAAAAGCCAGAGTAAATCTTTCCCATTAGAAGAGTAAATGAAGTGATTGATTTAAAGACTGATAAAACTAGCCAGACTATCCCTCCCTATGACTTGCCTCCACGGCTGAAATTTCTGTCTTCTCCATTGGGATAAAGCGGCCTATAGTTCACGCTACTGATTTCTTATTCAACATTCATTCCTGTCCTTCCTTATTAATAGGGCTCTTTATTTTTGTTTTTATCTTCCAGTTTTTTAGATAACCACCCAAATTCCAACTACAGAAGGGCAACTCAATTAGCCAGTAAATGGATTCCCTAATATGGTAGGAGATTTAGCATGCTTACTCTCTCCTTCCAGACATACAAAAGGAATACATTTTTCTACACCCACCCCAGCTACCCTCCTCCCCTTGCAGTTGGGCTGGACCATGTGACTGACTAGCTGTAGCCACCAGTCTGTAGTGGGTTGTGGGTAGAAGTAGTATGTGTCAATTCCAGGTAGAACAATTCATTGCCAGCATAAGTCCTTACAGTGTTTACTCTTCCCCAGACTCAAGACCAGTATTATCTTGAGTATTAGTAAAACCTCTCTCAGCTTAAGTTCCAAAAAAAACAGCCTGCCTCCAATCTTCATCTGGTTTGAATAAGAAATGCACCTTTGTAGTTTACGCCACTGAGATTCGGGAGTATTTTTCACTGCAGTATGAGCTAGTATCTAGGTTAAGCTAGACTAAAATATGCTTGAAAAATATTAGGACCAGGGTAAACTAGCACAATCAGATCGAAGGAAAGGATTTTCAGTCCATACCTAGGGGAAGGAGTTCTCTCCTGCCTGATTTGAGCAAGTCAGACTGTGACCCAGATTGCCATTGGCAGCAATCTTGCAAGAGGAACTAACCTGAAAATGAAGTCAGCCTACTGGGGATGGCAGAGAGTAGGAAACCCTTGAAGATATGATTGAGCTGCGGTCATACCACTCCTGAAAACTGCTCTTTCCTGGACTATTCCACAAACCAATAATTTTGTTTGTTTGTTCCCCCATAACACTGTAAGCATAAACTCTATCTTGTATATCTTTAATTTCATCTCAGTTCCTAACACAGATATGTCTCAAGCAGCACTAAAAAATATTGGATATAGCCAGGAATGATGGTTCATGCCTGTTATCTCAACACTTTGGGAAGCCGAGGTGGGAGGATCACTTGAGGCCAGGAGTTCTAGACCAGCCTGGGCAACCATAGCAAGACCCCGTCTCTATTTTTTAAAATATATTGGATACATTAAAATTTTTTAAATATCATAGCTCATACTCTTGCCTTCAGAAATAAGACATTGTCTGTATTAACAAGGAGAAAGTAATTTTATTTAATCCAATCTTTTTACAGATGAAGAGATTAAAACCTTGTAAGATATTACAAGGTTTATCAAGTTCATATAGCTTTGGTACGGCAAACAGAGATGGAGAAATAACTAATAATTGCTTCATCAAAATTGACCATAGTTTCCAACTCTGGATATAGAAGTATTGAGCCAGTATATTACCCTCAGACTTACTAGCTATTTTGCAACCACATCACACCAATCTGGTTCAACTTTTATGTAACAAAGTTGTGAGTTGTTTTCCAGTTACCATGTGCCCCCAGATTGAAGGTCACCTAACCTGAACATGCCGAGAGGAACCAAGTCTGCAACCACAGCAGGAACCTAAGTGCTCTGACTGAGGAGTGGGGCCTGAATTAAGAAGGGAATACCACATGGCAGGATCCAAGGTCTAATCATATCAAGCTTGGCATCACCCCATGGCAGGATCCAATCAAATCATACCTCCCAGCATCGTCTCATTGCAGGATCCAATCCAATCACATTTCATTACTTTATGCTTATAAAATCTGGCCTAGGCCAGGCACAGTGGCTCACACCTATAATCCCATCACTTTGAGAGACGGAAGCAGGTGGATCACTTGAGGCCAGGAGCTCAAGACTAGCCTAGCCAACATGGTGAAACCTACTAAAAAATACAAAAATTAGCCAGGCATGATGGTGGCTGCCTGTAATCCCAGCTACTTGGGAGGCTCAGGCAGGAGAATCACTTGAACCCAGGAGCAGAGGTTGCAGTGAGCCAAGATCACACCACTGCACTCCAACCTGAGCAACAGAGCATAGCCTCCTGTCTCCATGCAGTTGATTTGCAATAAATCTTTTTTCTCAAAAGCCAGTGCCATGGTATTGGCCATTGGCCTCTATGCACATTAAATAGTGCTTGGTAACAATCTGACCTTGGGCAAGTTACTTAACCTCTCTGAGCTCTGTTTTTTCCATCTATAAGAAGGGATGATGACAGTTCATGAGGTTGTATGGAATAAATTACTCAACATACAAAAAGCACTTATTCTTGACATATAGTCCATGTTATATACATTACAACCCTATTAAATTATCTTTATTCATAGCTAAACCATTTTTATACATTCGGTTAAATCCGGTAATCCTTTACCATTCATTTGATTCAGACCACTGACCTGTGTTTTTTCATCACACAAAATTGTAATGTATATTAGTATGTGGCCAGCACCCACCTTTCCTATAGGAACTACTGCTCTCATGCCCACACTTCTATCATGGTGGTAGCAAGAAGAGCTGTGTTACTGCTGTCCATTGGTCACACCTAATTGGCCAAGAGGTGGACATCTGACTAAAGATGGGCCAATGAACCCATTTCTCCAGGATGTTTAGACTTGGGAAGAGAGATTATCTCAAGCCTCACCTAGATATAAAATCTGGGAGAAGTCATTAGTCATTTGCCAAGTGGAGAAACTCATTCTGCATTAGAGAATAAAGTCAATGAACAGAGGAAGCAGAGAAGACAGAAGTATCCTTATTATACTGGAATGCTAAGTTCCAGGTTTTCCTGACCAGTAGTTGAATTTCTGCCTTTTCTTCTGCTTAGGCTCATCTCTTTCTTGGCTTTCCCTGTATCCTTGCGATATTGTTTCCATCTTGCCTAAGCTATTTCCAGGTGGGTTTATTTTAGAAGCAATTAATGCAATGATATGCTATATTATCATAAAGTTAAAAAAAATAAGAAAAGG